CCCCAGGGCCAGGGCCACAGCAATGAGCCTTTTTATGAATTTCAAAGCTGCCGTTTGCTAGCCCGCAAAGGCTCCAAACTTTCCAAAACAAAATTCCAAACACCTTCCCCAACAGGCACCCCAGGGCCAAGGCCACTTCCCCAACAGGCACCTCAGGGCCAGGGCCAAGGCCACTTCCCCAACAGGCACCCCAGGGCCAGGCCACAGCAATGGCTGTTTGCCAGCCCGCAAACCCTCCAAAACTCTCCAAACGCTCCAAACGCTCCAAACCCTCCAAAACCCGCCAAACCCTCCAAACACCGTCCCCAGCAGGCACCTCAGATCCACAGCAATGACTTTCTTGATGCTTTCCAAGCTGCCGTTTGCCAGCCCGCAAAGGCTGCAACCCCTCTAAAATTCCAAACACCTTCCTTAACAGGGGGCCAGGGCCACAGCAATGACTTTCTATGGGCCTCAAAGCTGCAGTGTGCCAGCCTGCAAAGGATCCAAACTTCCAAAATTCCAAACACCTTCCCCAACATGCACCCTAGGGCCAAGGCAACTTCCCCAACAGGCACCCCAGGGCCAGGCCACAGCAATGGCTTTCTTAGGCTTTCAAAGCTGCCGTTTGCCAGCCCGCAAACCCTCCAAAACTCTCCAAACGCTCCAAACCTTCCAAAACCCGCCAAACCCTCCAAACACCGTCCCCAGCAGGCACCTCAGATCCACAGCAATGACTTTCTTGATGCTTTCAAAGCTGCCTTAACAGGGGGCCCTCCAAAACCCGCCAAACCCTCCAAACACCGTCCCCAGCAGGCACCTCAGATCCACAGCAATGACTTTCTTGATGCTTTCAAAGCTGCCGTTTGCCAGCCCGCAAAGGCTGCAACCCCCCCAAAATCCAAACACCTTCCTTAACAGGGCAAGGCCACAGCAATGCGTTTCTATGGGCCTCAAGCTACAGTTTGCAGCTTCCTCCCCACAGGCCCCCCATGGCCATGGCCACAGCATGATTTCTATGAGCTTTCAATCTGCCGTTTTTCCAGCCCCTCACAGGCCCAAACGCCCCAAAATTCCAAACTAACCC